AGTGTCATTGACCTCTGACTACTAGACCATAGCATAAGTGGCTATGTCCAAAGCTTTCACTTCCTCATACTTGGTCCAACACTATTCTGAAATTTCCCTTTTAAAAGCACCAATGGGGGCGCCTGGGTGGCTTAGTCGGTTAAGCGTCCGACTTTCACTTAGGTCATGATCTCGCGGTTCGTGGGTTCGAGCCCCGCGTCGGGCTCTGTGCTGACTGCCAGCTCAGAGACTGGAGCCTGTTTCAGTCTGTGACTCCCTCTCTCTCTGACCCTCCCCTGCTCATGCTGTCTCTCTCTCCTAGAAATAAATAAAACATTTAAAAAAAAAAAATAAAAGCACCAATGCCCAGGTGCATGCTGGTGCCCTCTGTGGCATTTGACATTACAGAGTCCCCTCCACCACTAAAATTTCTCTCTCTTTAGCTCTCAGTATATTGTGCCATCCTAACCCTCTCCTCTGTCTTTATGGATCCTTCTCACCTCTCCTTGATTTGGCTTCTCTTACAATTCTTGTCCCATAAATAGATTTGTTTCCCTAGATCCTGCTGACTGGACACCTCCTAGATGTCCAATAATCACCTTAAATTCTGCTTTTCTCTCTCCCTTAATTTGTTTCCATAGACTATAGATCATAAATATTTCCAGTGACTCAAAGAAAGGAGAAAATTCCCATCAGAGCCCCTCTCAGGATCTGATAACAATCCCAGTCAAAGGGTGAGTTCATGGCAATCTAAAACAAAGGGGAAGGTAACTTAAACGTTTAACTTCTTACAACAGAGATTTTCCAGAAAGGAAGCATGCAGGAAAGGAGCCTGCTTATGACAGAGAGCAGAACATACAGTTTGAAAAGAGGCAGCCAGTGTTAACATTCAGGGTTTATATTCTGAAAACAAAATGCACCTCTTCAACAGATAATCCTACACATAATCATTTTTGTTAAGCAGTTGTTATGTAGCTATTCATTCATTCAGTAAACATACTGCTTCCCTGTGTGCCAAGTACTAGGTGTTAACCTTTAACAAGATGGGGCCTCAGTCCTCAGGAATTGTGGGGATAACAGACACTAACCAAATGTATAGCAGATCTAGGTAGGTAAACTTACCTCTGTGGTAAGTGCTATAAATGAGTCCTTCAGAGGTACTGGCAATATCGTTGAACCCACCAGGCTCTACAGCCTCCGAGGTTTTATACCTGCTACTCTCTCCATGCACATCTCTATCCCCAGGTCCTGGGGTGGCCAGCTCTTTCTCACAATTCATGTCAAAGAGGCTTTCTCTGATTTTCCTACCTAAAATTGCTCCCAGCCTCCCCACCCCCACTCACTCTGTCCTGTTACCCTTTGTTTTCTCGTAGCACAGATCACTATTGGAAAATGCATTATTTATTTCTTCTATACAAGTTTCTTGCCCGGCTCCCCCACTAGACTCTGAGGTCAATGATGGCATGGATCTTGTCCCTTTTCTTCACTGTATTCTTAGCACTTGGAATAGTGCCTGATGCAAAATAAATATTCTTTTTTTTTTTAAGATTTCCTTTTGATCATTTTATTTTATTTTATTTTATTTTTTTTACAAATAGTTTATTGTCAAATTAGTTTCCACATAACACCCAGTGCTCATCCCCAAAAGTGCCCTCCTCCATGCCCATCCCCCCCACCCCCCCACATCCATCAGTCCTCAGTTTTTGTCAGCATTCAAGAGTCTCTCATGGTTTGCCTCTCTCCCTTTCCCCCACCATTTCCCCCCTTCTTCTCCCGGTTGGTCCTCTGTTAAGTTCCTCCTAGTCCTCCTATACGTGCATACATATGATATTTGTCCTTCTCTGCCTGACTTAGCAAAATAAATATTCTAAATATTGGTAAACCAATGAAGGAACTATTAGAGAGTGACAGGAGAAGCCTACCCAGATGGGGTGATGAAGAAAGGCTTCTCTGAGGTAGTGACTTTTGGGTTTTTTTATTTTTTTAAATTTGCAAATATTAACTTGCAACCAAAACTTCTTATCTGATGTGGACACACACACACACACACACACACACACCCCAATTCTCAACCTAGAACATGCCCTATCTCTGGGAGCCATGTAACTGAATCTCAGGATGATTTGTCAGGGCCAGACATTGACATTTAACATCCATCCTACCTTCGTTCCATGTGCCTTCCTGTGCTATAGAAACGGAACCTCTAACAAACTGGATGTTCTAGACTTCCAAAAAGTTGGGCAGTGCCTTTCTGTCTTTCTTCACCAACTTTTTGTTGCAGATATAGGTTTGAAGGAGGCAAAAAGTTAGACTCAATCAGTGTTGACAAATCAGATATAGAATTCAGAGTTCAGAAATAGAATTCACAGGAATTGATGACTTGACTATATATGGGAGATGAGGAAGAGAAATATGACTATGATGAGTCAAATATATCAGTGATTGATTGAAATTCAAAAATAAAGAGAAGGAAGGTTGGAGAAGATAATTAATTTAGTCTTGAATGAATTTAAGCTGCCTGAAGGACATCCAAAGTCTCTTCAGTGAACAGCCAGAAACCAAGGACTAGAGCAAGAGAGCACAGTTGGGGCTGGAGCTACAGATCTGGAAACCACATGCATTTGGGTGTTGGCTGAAGTCATGGGATTGGTGGGGTCATCCAGGGAATGTGTGTACAATGAGAGCAGAAGAGGACACATTGGGAGCCCTGGGCAACTGAGAAGTTACCACTGAGAAGGAAAATCCAAGAGATGACAACAGAAGGGCTTGACAGAGAGATAGGAGAACCAAGAGATCTCAGAGTCACAAGAGTTCAAGATAAAAGAAGTTCAAGAAAGTGGAAGTGATGACAAATTCTGCAGAAAACTTAAGATAAAAGTTTGGTAAAGAGGAGATCATGCATGACCATACAATGAGCAATTTTAGCTTTAAATCTCATGTTGTAAGACTGTCATCCTTCCTATTAGAGTCACCTGCTATCCTCGGGTCGCTGTCCCCCAACTTCCCGAAGAGTTCAGCTTCTGGCTGACTTGTACATGCTTCAACACTACTTCTTTTGCACTTCTATCCATGCACATGGTCCTTCCATTAGCCTTGCTTTTCAGGTCCCTGACCTCCTCTCCTCCAATGACCTTGTCTTCCACTCCTTTCAGTCCATTAGCCTCTCAGTTGCCCCATCGCAGTCTTCTCCTCTGTCTTTTCGGCTCCCTCTTACCACTCTTTGACTTGGCTCTTCTTGTGTGTGATTCCTTCCCCATAAGCTGATTTGTTTCTCTAGAAACAGCTGATTATACATCTCCTATAGTCATATTCCAGTACCAAAATCTACAATCTTTCGGTAATCTTAGTTTTAAGCACCCCACTCTCTCTAATCACCATCTCCATCTTTCCATTGTGCTCTTTCTTCTACCCCAACTCCAACAATCCCTTCACCTCCATGCCCCAACCAATAGTCCATTGACCCAACTACTTTTCATTATCTCTCCTGTCCCTTGTGGCATCACTCTTCTCCTTACCCAGTTTAATGTCCATGGTAAGTCATTACCACCACTCCTTCCAATGCACCCTCAACTCCCTTGTTCCATTTTGAATTGTACTGCTTGGCCAAAAATTGTTTTGCAATTTTAAAAATCAATACTGCTTAATTCCAACTTGGGCTCATTTGTACCTAAATTTGCACAAGTAGGTGGAAAAAAAGCATACAACCATGCTAAGATTAGCCTCACTTAAATTTATGGTCCTTAACTTCAATGCTGCCAGGCAATTATAACTTTATTTCTCTCATTCATTCTTACTCTCCTAAACAACTAGGAGGTGAGAGCACACAAGTTATAGAGGGCATTGCTTTCCAATACTTTTTCAATTGTCCTCACTCTAAGCTTCCTTACTGAAAAAACAGATGTCACCTGAAAAGTATTTCCACATGCTTCCATTGTAACATCTATCTACCTCCCTTCCTTTGTATCTTGCTCTGTCTTCTATTCCTCTCTGTATCCTTCTCCATTCTCCTGTTACTATAGATTAATTTAACTGTGTAAAGTAAAGGACAGTTTCTCTGCTTATGCACTAGAACCTATCTCCTCTCACCTGCTCAAGGACATTGCCCCAGCAATTCCTCCCTTTTAAATCTGCTTTAACAAATTCCCTCTTTACTAGAGATTTTCCCATCAGATTACAGACATGTTATTTCTCCCATCTAATAAACAAAACAAAACTTACTTAATCTTACTTCTCTCCTAGCTACTATTCTATTTCTCCTTCTGCTTACAGCACAATTCCTATTTTCCTCCTCCCACTCTCTTGACCCATTGAAATATTCAACCCTCAAATTACATGACCCATCAGCATTATTTGATCTGGTCCATCCCTCTCTTCTTCTTGAAACATATCTTAAGTCATCTCCCAGGGCATCACACTCTCCTGATTTTCTTCCCACTTCCTCCCCACTCTTCTTTTTTTTTCTTTTTTTTTTTTAATTTTTTTAAAATTTATTTCTAGGAGAGAGAGAGAGAGACAGCGTGAGCAGGGGAGGGTCAGAGAGAGAGGGAATGACAGACTCTGAAACAGGCTCTAGTCTCTGAGCTGGCAGTCAGCACAGAGCCCGTCGCGGGGCTCGAACACACGAACCGTGAGATCATGACCTAAGCGAAAGTCGGACGCTTAACCAACTAAGCCACCCAGGCGCCCCTCCTTCCCACTCTTCTATCTCCCTCACTGGTTCATGCTCATCTTCCCTACCCATTAACATTAGATTACTCCAAGGCTCAGTTCTTAGAACATTTCTCTTTTCTATTTATTCTCATTCCAATGATGATCTTATCCATCCTCATAAGTTTAAATTCCACTTGCAGGATGCTGACTCCCAAATATCAATTTCCAGTCCCCTTGACAGCTAAACTCCATCCTTTATCCAGTTCTCTCAAGACTTCATCTACACTTGAATGTCTTCTAATCACCATCGTATATTTCATTGGTACAAACCCTCTCTCTGCAGCTTTATACCTTTGTTTGACAATCAGCAATTAGTTCTCATCCACATTAACAGTCTGTAGATTTTTGAGAGTGGTGACAGGTACATAGATAACCAATGTATAGAGTTTATTTGGTGAATATCCATCCTTGTTACATTTTCTGAACAACCACACACAGATACAGTATGGAACACTCCTTATTCCTTTGGCCCCAGACAGCTTTTTTCTTTTTAATTTTTTTAATATTTATTTATTTTGGAAAGAGACAGAGCACGCGAAGGAGAGGGACAGAGAGAGAAGGAGATACAGAATCTGAAGCAGGCTCCAAGCTCTGAGCCATCAGCACAGAGCCTGAGGTGGGACTCAAACCCACGAACCATGAGATTATGACCAGAGCCAAAGTCAGATGCTCAACTGACTGAGCCACCCAGATGCCCCAAGGGCCCAGACAGCTTTGTTGAGCCTGGTGTTGATGCACACATTTAGTGTTCCCATTTCCTTCAAAACAAATCTCCGGATCTCTTTGAGTGTCCAAAGGGTATGCTTCTTGGAACCCTCTCCATTGATGCACTTGTGAATATTGATGGTGTATTCTCTGATCACTACCTCATTGATGGCAGAATGGGCTTTCTTCTCCCCACTCTGCTTTGCAGGAGTCATTCTACCTGGCCGGAGTTGGAAAGGAAGAACGCCAAACCCTATCTCTTAATCTCTCCCCCAACCTGCTTTTCCCACAGTCCTCCCCAGCTCGGTAAACTGCAACTCTGTCCTTCCAGTTTCTCAGGACAAAAATCTCTGAGTCCCTATTTCTCAGACCCCACATCCCACTCGTTATCATGTGTTACCGGTTCTCCCCTAAAAACAGATCCATAACAGCTACTTCACTTCTGCTTCCCTGATCTAGGCCACCAACATCTAGTATCTGAATTATTGCAATAGCCTCCTAACTAGGCAGCCCTGCTTCCTTTCTTGCTCTTTTTGATCTATTCTCAACACAGGGTGATTCTTTTTATTTTATTTTCTAACACATTTTATTTCTTTTTGAGAGAGACAGAGACAGAATCTGAAACAGGTTTCAGGCTTTGTTAGCACAGAGCCCAATGCGGGGCTCAAACCCACAAACCATGAGACCATGACCTGAGCTGAAGTCAGAGGCTTAACCAACTGAGCCACCTAGGGACTCCCAGAGTGATCTTTTTAAATTATCAGTCAGAACGTATCACTCCTCTGCTCAAACCCGTCCAACAGCTTTTCAGTTTACTCACAGTAGAGTTGGGGGTCATTAAAAATGGTATAAAAGGCCTGACGTGACTTGGCCCTTCTCCCCTCCATTACTCCTCTGACCACAACTTATACTAATTTTCCCCCTCACTCTCATCCCCAGCCACACTAGCTTTCTGGCCATTCTGAAAACATACCAAACACTCCTACCTTGGGCCTTTACACTTGGCTATTTCCACTCCTTAGAATGATATTCTTCCAAATATTTATATGGCTCATTTTCTCACCTTTTTCTGGGTCTTGCTCAAATATCACTTTCTGGAGAAACATATTTGGGAACCATTTGCATCTGGGTGACAGCTGAAGCCATGGTATTAATAAAGTCACCCAAAGAGTGTGTTCTTAGTGAAAAGTAGATGGTTACCGACAGAGCCCTGAGTAATACCACAGTGGAAGAGAATCCCAATGGAAAAAAAAAAAAAAAAGGAATCAAAAGAGACTTAGAAGAAAAACAGAAAATCCTAGTATCACAAAGGTCAAGGAAAAGGAAAGCCACAAGAAATAGGAAGCACGTAAATAAATTCCACAGAAAACTTTAGTAATATATAAGTGTGGTGAATAAGAAGTCACCAGGGACTTCAGCAAGGACTTATCTGACTGAGAAATAAGTTGAGAAATATTTGGGAAATGTGGAAGTAGAGACTGAAATTGTAGATTACTATTTCAAAAAGCTTGATTCAGTAGAGAAAGAGAGAAATTAGATGGTAGCTAGGGGGTATGTGCAGGTACATGAGAAGGAAGGTTTTTGTTCTTATGGGATTTATGCATTAATAGATGGGGACGGGGAGCTCGAATTTGTTTATAGACTAAAAAGAGGTAGAAGAGGGAGAAGTGAAAAATCTGGTAGAGGATCATTGATACAGCACAGTCCTGCAAAGAAGATTCAATAGCATCCAACAAGTATTTATGATGGACCCACTACTAAATGATGCTGAGTGTCAAGATATAGTAATGAAGAAAATAAACACCAAGTAGACTGTGGCACAATGGATTTGGGCAAGGGTAAAACCACAACTGTAGATTCTAGTTTTAAAGCTGAAAGGAACAAAGGAAGGAGGAAAGGATTGCTTATAGGAAATTGAGGAACTTCATATTTTTATGGCCTCTATTTTCTTAGCATGCAAGAGACTGCAATCTGCTTCAGTGAAGGGAAGATGAAAATGGGGTTTAAGGAAGGTATTTCAGGTTAAAGATCTGCAATAATAATTAAAGAGGAGAGGAGAGGAAGCTAATAAAACTCAAAGGAAAAGAAATATCAAGCAGCTCCAAATGCCTACATGAAATGGACTGTCATTAATTTATAGAGGATCCATTCTCTACAATAGTGTCATTTTTACCCACTAACCTTCAGCACTCAAGTACAGAACGGCCTGTAGAACCAGCAGATGGTTGGTGGCTTATGGGGCAAGGAAAGAGGTCAGGTGTAGCGCCAGGATCCTGAAAACAATCAACTGGGGTTTGTGTATTTCTAACCTGTCTTTCTTTTGCCTGCCTTTAATAGAGAGACAGTAAATGCCAAATACTAAATTCCCCAGCTCCCCTACAGCTAGGGGAAGCCATGTGTCGACGAGACATAGCATAAGTGAACAAACAATGCCCTTCGGTTTCTCCTGTCTAGTGTCACCAGCACAGTCATCAGACCTAGAGAAGCAGCAGACATTTGGTGACCTTAGGGCCACAAGAAGGTGGATAAATTCAGCATAGTAAGGATGTCAGAGCAGAGAGGGGGAAAGAACATGGGTTCCTGATGGTGTTCAGTACTGCTGTTATCAGTCCTGTTATTCTGCTTTGCCTCAGGCTTCTCTCTACGTGGAACAAATAAACCCTTATTCATGTAGGACATGGGCTTTGTGTTTTCTTTTTTTTTTTTTACAAATAGTTTATTGTCAAATTAGTTTCCACATAACACTCAGTGCTCATCCCCACAAGTGCCCTCCTCCATGCCCATCACCCCCCTCCCCCCCACATCCATCAGTCCTCAGTTTTTGTCAGCATTCAAGAGTCTCTCATGGTTTGCCTCTCTCCTCCTCCCCCACCATTTCCCCCCTTCTTCTCCCCCTTGTTCCTCCGTCAAGTTCCTCCTAATCCTCCTATACGTGCAAACATATGATATTTGTCCTTCTCTGCCTGACTTATTTCGCTCAGCATAACACCCTCAAGGTCCATCCATGTTGCTACACATGGCCAGATTTCATTATTTCTCATTGCCATGTAGTATTCCATGGTATAGATAAACCACATCTTCTTGATCCATTCATCAGTTGATGGACACTTAGGCTCTTTCCATGTTTTAGCTATTGTGGAGAGTGCTGCTATGAACATTGGGGTACACGTGCTCCTATGCCTCACATTTCTGTATCCCTTGGGTAAATTCCTAGCAGTGCTATTGCTGGGTCATAGGGGAGTTCTATTGTTAGTTTCCTGAGGAACCTCCACACTGTTTTCCAGAGGGGCTGTACCAGTTTTGGGCTTTGTGTTTTCTGGTGGTTTGCAACCCAATGGGTTCATAACTGAAACAGAGGTCCAGACTAGGTATGTTAGTCACGATGCTTTTGGTTATAAAAATATAATACATATATATTAGGTAAATGTGGAAGCTTCTTTCATATCCCAGGTGTGGGATATAAAACAGACCAAGCTGCAATTCAGTATTGATTTGGGAGAGCGTCTACATCAATGACGTCTGTTTCAGATGGCGCCAAATAATTTCTGTACTGCAAAATAAAGCCAAACTCAGGGTGGGGTGGAGGGTGGGGAGGGATATTATAAAATAATATAAGGAGAAATAAGTGGAAGAGGATTTATTGACTCATATGGCTGGAACATCCAAGGGATAGAATTGGCTTCAAGTCCAGGAGGATCTGTAGTTCAAATAATATCATAAGAAAAATTATCTCCCTTCCTCTCTCAGCTCTGCTTAGCTCTGTTTGACTTTATTCATTCCCAAGTTTTCCAAGCATGCATGACAACTTCCAGCAACTCCATTTTTACACATTCCTTAGAGTTCATGACCCCATAAGCTGACCCTGACCCTTTCTCTGATAGTGACCATATCAATCCCCAACAAAGATTGCTTGGATGGCCTGGGTCAGAGGCCCACATCTATGGTGGAGGTGGTTAGGCCACATGACCAACAGCTCGACCAACACCATGTGGAATGGAAGAAGGGTTCCCAAGAGATGTTCAGCATACCAAAGAGCAATAAGCCAACTATGGTGGAAAAACAAAGTGAGACCAGGAAGGAGACAAATAAACTGGGGAAAAAATGAGTGGGTAATTGGGCTGGAAAGATTGATGAGACTTATAATTTGTATGAAAAAATGACACAGGAGTTGGAAGGATAAAAACTTGTGGTCAAACAGTAAGATACAAACGTTCAGTATTTCAGACAGGTGGAACAGTCCTAGATGATAATTGGCAAGATCTACTATGTGTGTAGTAGAAAGTAGTAGAAGATGGTGGTAGAAATAAAGATATGAGCTGGAAAAAAAAAAAGATCTGAGTTGATAAAATTAAGACACTAAATCAAGAATCAAGATGATCAGGGGCGCCTGGGTGGCTCAGTTGGTTAAGCGGCTGACTTCAGCTCAGGTCATGATCTCACAGTTCATGAGTTCGAGCCCTGCATTGGGCTCTGTGCTGACTGCTCAGAGCCTGGAGCTTGCTTCAGATTCTGTGTCTCCTTCTCTCTCTGCACCTCCCCTGCTCACACTCTGTCTCTCTGTCTCCCAACAATAAATAAACATTAAAAGTTTTTAAAAAAAGGATCAAAATGATCAAGGATAGATTTGTATGCTTAAGGCCTTAACCTAGTAAAATATTTATGATACCGGTGTTAATTACATATTCTTATGTAGCAAATTCCTCCTGGAAACCACCATTCTACTTTCTGTTTCCTTGATTTCAGTGATTTTAGATATTTCTTATAAGTGGAATCATACAATATTTATTGTTTTGTGACTGGCTTGTTTTACTCAGCATAATGTCCTCTAGGCTTATCCGTGTTGTAGCTTATGACAGAATTTCCTTCTTTGTTAAGGCTGAATATCTACTGAGTTTTTAATTTCAGTGATCATCTGTCTCATAGCTGGAAATTAAATTTTATAAAATCTGGCTTTTTGTTTTACCTTATGTTTTTAATAATTTTAATTATAAATATTTGACAATCTGTTATATAATGTCAGCCTATTATTTTAAGTACTTGAGGGCTCAAATTTTCCTTTTTTAAATATGCTAAATTTTACTCATGATGAATTGTGCCCTGGTGTGCTTTGAATTTCCCATCAAGGGAAAAATGGGAAGTTGCTGTTACTGAGTATGGTTTCAATTTTGCAAGATGAAAAAGTTCTAGAGATCTGTTATAAAACAGTGTGAATATAGTTGACGCTACTAAACTGTAT